AAGGCCAAATTATCCGGGAGGGTACTCCTTAGGTCCTTGGGGGGAAAGCCCTTCCGTTGACTCGCACCAGAGATAGGCTTGTACATAATTAATGGAGCAGCTGTCTTCACATTCCTTGCATGCTTCAGTGTGACTCACTGTCATTTGGGTATCAGTTTGATCCAGACCTCATTTTTCATTTCTAGGCCCATGTTAAGATGTGCATGTGTAAAGGTAAAGGTAAAGGTTCCCTTGCTCGAAAGCCAGTCGAATCCGACTCTAGGGTTGCGGTGCTCATCTCCGTTTCAAAGCCGAAGAGCCAGCGCTGTCTGAAGATGTTTCTGTGGTCATGTGGCCGGCATGACAGGGATCTAAAATGGGGGTCTCCTGTGAGGGGGAGTCCTGGGGCATCAGTGGAATGTCCAGAGTTGAGGAGTTTTAAGGGAGGAGTCATTGGTATATCTGTGGGTTTCACTGAGGAAACAGTGTTAGAGCAGGGGTTGTGGATATACCAAAGGGAAGGATGGCCATCCTTTTCATCCAAAGTTGCCTTGGTAAGATGGTACCTTCAGTAATTACTTCTGGAAATGGTCCCTTATGGGCCAGGAGTTTTCTTTTGATGTATGTCTGAGCCCAAATCATTCAACTGGGCACTTTATGTCTGGCTTTTTCTTCAGATCAGGTTAATTCAGGCTATCAAAAGATCCTGGCTGTGGAGAAGTTGGAATGTGAGTTTAGCTATTACAATTAAAAATCAGATTTCTGCACTATGACTGAACAAAATCTTTGGTAGTTTCCACTCTGAGAATTGTTTTATCCTTGTGCTTCATTCAGCTAAGCCAGTTAGTTAGCCTAATGTGTGATTCTGGCAGAGAATGAGAAGAATGTTGGTTCATTAAAAAGAGAAAGACAGGCTTTGGGGAGGGGGAACATTTCTTATATGTATTAAACTGTTTCTGTTTATTTTTTTTCTTCCTTGTGTAATCTCCTCTAAGTGTCTGTGAAAAAAAGTGATTTCAGATGAAGAAAATAGGTAGATAGATAGGTAGTAAAATTTATTGTGTAGCCATTAGCCTTTACAATTTAAAACAATGTACACATTAGACAACTTACAGCACTGGAATTTGAATTTAAATTATTACAACCTCTAAAAATCTGCACATTCAGTATTTAAATTAATTAAAACCTTAAATATAGATACCCATCTCCAGAAACACATACACAGCCTCAAACATTGCCGTTTTACTTTGCTGTTTTACAGTTCAATTCCATTTTTCTGTGTTCTTGGCCCTGATTTTACTAGCTGTAAAGGCGAAGAGTGCTATCCTATAGGAAACTGTAGGATCTGTATCTGACAGCAGAAATATTAATTTATCGTTGTCAGAAAATTTTTGCAATTGATCTGTTATTGCAGTCAAGAATTTACATCTCAGTTCCCAGTACAATGGGCAGACCATGACATGAAGAAAAAGATCCTCCACGGAAGTTTTACAGATACGAATACGCTGTTCCTGGGGTATTTTTAAGTATCATCCCAGGAGTAATTCTGTTGGCATAGTCTGGAAACGCAATGCTGTAAATGCTGATCTAAGCTTGTATGTGGTAATGTTTTCCAGGTATGCAGCTCTTAAGTGATCTTTCTTTATGTCTTTGTAAAAGGTAAAGGTAAAGGTTCCCTTCCTCGAAAGCCAGTCGAATCCGACTCTAGGGTTGTGGTGCTTATCTCCGTTTCAAAGCCGAAGAGCCAGCACTGTCCGAAGACGTTTCTGTGGTCATGTGGCCAGCATGACTAAACACCAAGGCGCACAGAACACTGTGTACCAGGGGGCAAATTTTGACTGAATGATTAAAGAATAATCTATTATGGCATCTCCATTAAACACCCATTGCCTCAAATCGCAGTTGTTATCTAAATATCACAGTAAATCGTCTGGAATTGTATAACGGGAAATAATGTTATGAACAAAATCAAAGCGAATATAATCTTTGCTTAATGACAAACAGTAGCTAAGCATCAATTGGTATTTCTGGCAACTACACAACCTGACACAGCTCACTGTGACGTCTGAATCAGATGTGGGGGGGGGGGAAGAACCATGGTTTATTGTCTTGTCTACAAACCAGGATTTCAAACACCAGCCTTGGTCTGCAGACAAGAAAACAAATCAGTTTGTCGTGACGTAGGAACTGGGCTAAACGACAAACTCTGGTTTGTTCCAACCCAGGAAGTTTTCAGTCTCCACACAAGGGAAGACAGAAGGCAGCTTTTGAGGCTTATATTTTGAAAATATTCCTCAAAAAGCCTATTTAATTGAGGTGGAGTGGTTTTTTTTTTCCTTTCATTTTTCATGTAGGCACTTAAGACTAGCAGTGATGAGCCCTTAGTAGAGAGAGCCAGTGTTTCATACCCAACATACACTCAAGGGTGAAAATCCTCTTAAGACTGTTCTCCACTTATGATAAGGGTGGCACTTGGCATCATACATCTGACTTTGCATTGCATTTCTCCACAGATTTTTCACCCTTTATTCTTCTCCTTTAACTCATTCACAAAGCCTCCAAGGCACATATATCATGGCTGTGGAATCTAGGATACTGCTAGGAAAGTAATTAATGTCATTCATTCTAAGCCCTTCAATAACACTTTCTCCCTCCCACCCCATATACAATGCACCAACCTCGGAGGCCAGCTTGAAATTCCTGGATGAATAGAAAACTTCCCTTGGCATTTAGAAAGAGACATTTCAGCATAGATTTGTTAGGCTGAATTCTTCCTCAGAAAACACAACAGTTAACTAAAAGTTGACTAAACAGGCGTTGCAGCTGAGCAACTAGCATCTAGGAAGCTGACAGTACGTCACATTCAAACCCTTAGTGAACCCGTATACCATGTGGGATCTCTCTAATAAAAGAGTAATCTGGTGTAACCCCCATTTCTCGTACCCACTCCAACTGAGAGAATAAATTACTGGGCCTCGGTTGGTTAGTTGAAGGAGGAAGAGGGTGAAGGGGAGAAAGTATTGCTGCCTCCAGCCCACCCTCCAGCTTCTGTTTCTCCTGATCAGAGGAGAATTGCCAGTAGGCAAATGAAAGAGAAATACAATTTTGAAACAAATCCACAAACTCTCTACAATGTTGTACCCTTCAACAAAATTACTTAAAAATATAAATAGGGTTTATTTAACAGTGGAGCGGGGATCATAGTAGGAGAACATATGTATAAAAGCTTCAGCTTAGGCAACACAATTACAGCTGGAATCAGAAAGGTGGTAGAGCCCTTAACTCACTTTCTCTCTCTTAGGCCCTCTGACAGTCTCTCTGAGTCTTTCCTGCAGATTGGCTGGCTTTCTAGTACTGCTGTAGGTCTCTAGAGACTACTGCTGTCTTTTAAACTCCTCACCAGGCTATATTTTCCTTTGTACAAAACACAGCTCCTTCTCCTCAGATAGCTTTCTTCTCCCTTTTTCTTCAGAACTCTCTCTTTTTTCTTAATTAAGGAGCCTCAGAGGAAAAATGCCTTAGCTGTTGTATTTATTATCCTGGGTTTTTTATAAGATTTTAAAAACAATTCTAATAACCTGGGTTTATTGCATTTTTATTATCTGTATTGTACTGTTTTACTGCATTTTTAAAAATGTATGATCTGGCTTGAGTCTTGGTCACAAAGGTGGAGTTAGAAATAAAGGAATTAAGTGAATACAAAATCCTTTTCCTTCACAAACTCCACCAGGGGATCAGTCCCATGGAGTTAGTCTGGGAAATAAGACAAAATGAAGAGATTTACTGCAAAGAAAGAAAGAGGGGGAATGTAAAATAATGAAAAGATCCTTAAGCAGCCTTTTGAAAAATTATTGATAATGTTTCTTTATAAAACCACTGATATTGTGAATGAGGGCATACAGAAGCAATTGCCCACAAGAGGGCACACTGTGAACAAAAATTAACAGGCTGATAGTTATTCTCCCTTATGACACATAAACACTGAGGTGATCCGCCATCCCAATCAGACATTAAAAGTGGCCAGATTGACGAAGGGCCAAAGCTTTGCATGCAGAAAATTCCAGGCACAGTCCCTAGTATCTCCTTTTAAAGATCTTGCAACTCTGGCAGACTTAAACTGGAGACCTTGGAGAAGTCGGGTCAAAGTGCTGGACTAAGTGAACCAAAGGCAGCTTCATGTGTTCATAGGATTTTTGTTTTGGTTAAACCTCCCCCCCTTCAGAGGTTGAGACCAAACCATAGACTTTGGCTACCTAGTATGAAACTACTTTGGGGATAATTCATGTGACCAGAATTGCTCAAGAGAAGGCCATAGTTATCGTTACAGAAAGTAGCCTGATTATTTGAAACCTTTATCATGTAGTGGGTTTTTTTTCCATATGTGGAATTTCTTACCATGTGCTCACAATCAGTGGCATAATCACTGCTTCAAGAGGCAGCATAGAAATATCCTAAATAAATAAAAAATGTATCAGTCACTATACAGCTGGGGCGTCATATTGTGTATCTATCACTCTTGTTTTTCCATTTTTTTTTTAAAAAACACTTCTTGGCAAAACACTAGTTTCCTCCTCTTCCCACTCCAGTCCCAACCAATGTTCCCTCTAAGCTGAGTTAGTGTGAGCTAGCTCACGGTTTTTGAGCCTCTGGCTCACACATTTTTGTCTTAACTCAGGAAGGATGGCTCCAGAGCAAACCAATTTATGCAGTAGCCAAATCACCTGCTCACAACATTAATGCCAGTAGCTCACAAAGTAGAATTTTTGCTCACAAGACTCCATAGCTTAGAGGGAACATTGGTCCCAACCTTTGTGAGTACCAGAACAGTGTCATCAGTTCACAAAGTCCAGTTGACCTTGAAGTGGTTAGATAGCAAATCTCTTTACTGACTATAAAGTAAGGTCAAAAGTGCATATCGACATGTATACCCAATAGAGTTCATTGGCTATAATCTTTGGTCTTTCTTTCTCTCCACTGTTTTCTTTCCACATGTTTTATTACAACTCCTGGCAATCCCCTAGATGATTTTAAAAGATGTGGATTCCCTTTTGTATGTGGACACAGATGTTCTGTTCTTACGGCCCATTGATGACATCTGGGACTTTCTGAGAGCATTTAATTCTACGCAGCTGGCTGCAATGGCACCAGAACATGAAATACCAAAGATTGGCTGGTACAGTCGGTTTGCTCGTCACCCTTATTATGGAACGACTGGGGTCAATTCTGGTGTCATGCTGATGAATTTAACCCGCATAAGAAATGCTCAGTTCAAAGTAAGTTTTTTTTTAAAGTGTTTCCCATCAACTGTAGATTGATTTTTGGCTCCTTCCATTTCTGGCTGCTCCTGGAAATCATACTGGGTCAAAATGGTTTACCTTGGGCACTTTTATAAAGATGACTTTCACATGTTGAAGAAGCAGCCTGTGATAGTTTTAGTCCTGGATACTGGGTCTCCTGAGAAATGGGGACAGACCAACCAGAGTCAACTAAATCACTGACACACAGTACTATAGTAAGGGAGCAGTCAACTACTGAGAAAGAATCTTCATTGTAGTTCTTCGTCACCACACTTAGAACATTATCAGTCAAGGTGATTCTGGTTTTGATGCACCTCACAACTCCCCGTCCAGCTGAGTAAGAAACACTTCAGATGGTATTCCTGTCAAGACAGTTTTTGATTCCCAGGACCGCCTGTGAATTCATATCTTTTGGCTGGGTTTTTTTTTTTTTAAGGATTTTAGAAGCTTCAAGTGACCCAAGTGTAAAGGCATGTGAAGGCTGTGATCTCTGTGAAACTATTAAAGTTCCTCTGGTATGGCACACCAGGAGGGAAGAGAGTTCAGCCGGCCTGCAAAGGTTTCTGCTAAGGCACAAGAAATCTTTGTGAACAAAATGTCGTGTGGCAGAGGGGCCTGCAGCGAGGAAGAAAAAATGGACAAAATTGCCTCACCTCCGTCTTTTGCTAGCAGAGCAAGCTTGGCTCCAAGGCTTGCCCAACTACCACAAGAGTTAGGGGAAGGGGATTTTGCCTGATCCCACCTTTTTTAGGATTATCATGTTCCAGGAGTTCAGCAACTATTGCTATGTCTCCTACTACTAGCACTAATTTTTGTCGCTTTTATACCTGTCTTTCAGAACAGCATGATACCAACGGGCTTGACATGGGAAGAAATGTTGTACCCTTTGTACCAGAAGTACAAAAACTACATTACGTGGGGAGACCAGGACTTGCTCAATATTATTTTTTCCTTTAATCCAGGTACAGAATGCATAAACTCCCAACGTATATAAAATATTCTGTTCCTTTGTCTTCAGATACTTAATAAGGAGACAGGTGGAATGCAGGCTCTTCTCCCTCCACCTATTTCCCCCCACTAACAGTTCACTTCTTTTTCTAGGCTAGTAATACTAAGGATGAGGACAACAGACCATGTGTTTGCCACTTTAAAATTTTTTTGGTACAGGTAGATGCAGGAGGTTTAAAAAAACAAAAACAAAAAACTTCTGCCTTGTGAGAGCCAAAGATCGCTGCACGCTTGCAGAGAAGCAGAGGGTGCTGTGACCACTAGCACCCACTAGTGGCTGGAGCTCAGAACTCATGAGCTTCTTATATGTTTAGAGTTTCCCCTGGAAGCATTTCCTGTTGCTTAGAGAGTCCTTTCCGCACTTGGATCTCATCCCTAGTTTTATCAGAGTTCAACTCACGACACAATACTTTGCATTTAACCCTGGTTATAACAGCATCCGTTTATCCCAGGACAAGTGTGGGGCGAAACCGGGGTTACCTCAATGTAATGTGGAAACGAAAAATACCCCGAGATAATTACAGGGGTGAACTCGAGTGTAGTGTAGAATGTATGTTCAGGGACAGGGTTGAACCAGGATTTAAAGTCTAGTGTGGAAAGGACCGATGTCATAAGTTTCCCAGAGGAAATATTTTCAAGCAACACTCCTGGTTTTCTGATTTTCTCCTAAGATTTTTGTGCAGGAAGTTTAGACGTAGTAGATCACGAGGGGGGCAGATTCTATTTGCTTAACTCAGCTCTCCAGCCCTCATTCTCTCTTGTTCATTCATGTCCTTTGATCCCTTCTCTAGGCCCTTGAACATGTCTGCCACCACTTCTATGCTTCCTGCCCGTCGCCCAAACCGTCACTTCAAATTGTGTGACAGTTAAGACATTTTGGAATGATATACATAAACATCTGCATAGCCTGCTCAGGAGATTTTGATTTTTTTGTTTGTTTTTGCTAAGTCCTTGTATATGTCCTTGGGAGCTGAAGCTAGCAATTTTTTTGGTACTTTGTATTCACCCCCTCCCCTTCCCCCCGGGCTTTCTAGAGCGTCTGTATCTGTTCCCTTGTCAGTGGAACTATCGGCCAGATCACTGCATGTATGGGAGTAACTGTAAAGGAGCAGAGGAAGAAGGCATATCCATTCTCCATGGGAATCGGGGCGTCTACCATGACGATAAGCAGCCTACTTTCAAAGCACTATATGAAGTGATACGTGATGTAAGTGTCTTCCTGCCAAAGTTCAGAGTCTTACATAGTGTTACAACACATGTTACCCCATCTGATTGGGAAGATTCTAGCCAGCAGCCTGCCAGGTCCCCATTTCGCTGTTTCCTGTTTAAAACAACCCCAGATCCATTTGGCATCTGCAGCTGTTTTAACAGGGTTTTTTTTAGATGTGCCCGTCTGCTAAATTTGGTAGCTTATCTTAACTTTTAAAAGGGGAGGCTGTAGAGAAGAGGAATGGGACTCTTGATTTGTGACAGCCAGCAAGACGGAGATTTGGTGGAATTAAATTGTAGGGTTCCGTTTAGCAGAAGGGAATTGTAGGGTCCAACCCACTGTGTTTTAGGATGCCTAAGTCTGCACGGGATTGAGCCACATGCAGGACAAATGCAACGGCTTGGCTTTTTTTCATAGACGGAAGGATTTCTGTCCTTCCTTCTGCAACCCCCAATGCCCCCTGAATGCCTTATAGTCCCCTGTCCACCAGGAGTATCAGCTGAGGGGCATTTTGGCCTGCAGCAGTAGGGGGAAAAAAAAGTCGTGCCCTGCAGGTGGGAATCCTTCAGCCCACAGAAATGCTCCAGTGGACTCAACCATCAACAGGTTAGGGTTTGTGTTGATTCACAACTGTATGGTTCAACACCGATTGTGTGCAAAGGTTAATGTTTCAAAAATCATTGGCTGTAAACCATATTTTAAAACATCTATACATATCGTTATTTAGTGATGTAACAACAAATCTATCTTATACTGTTTATCCCCCCCTCTTTTCTCCTTCTTTAGTTTTCCTTTGAAGACAATCTCTTTCAATCAATGTACTACCCACTCCAGTCAAAGTTCCTTGATACTGTACACACTTTATGTGGTCGAATTCCACAAGTTTTTCTGAAACAGATTGAGATAACCATGAAGAAAGTCTATGAAAACCGAGTGGTCATCCATGTTGGGGCCAATTTCAGATTGTAATTATAGCAATATATATATATATATTAATATGGTCTTCACCATTTTTATCCAGACCTCTTGAAGAAGGTTAACTGAAGGGGAAGTGTTTCAGTCAGCTGCAACTTAAGGAAAATTGCCAAGATGTTTTTGAATGCCGAACGCACAATTCGTGAACTTCCTGATGAAGATGAGAGTGGCTTAAAAACCTAAGGATTTCCATTAGCAGTTGTCAGAATTCTTTGGAAATGACTGTTAAGCAATTTACTTTTATGCTTTTGTATGAAGCTTACAAAGCACCATGTCTGGGTTAAGTTCCACTGAAATGAAGGACCCTCTCCAGAGGGGTAAAAAGACAGAAAAAATTTAGTTTGTGAGGTGATGTGTTAATTCAGTAGTACTCACTCTGCAGCTTACGGAGAGCCGCATTGCAATTTCCATTGACTAAAAGAGCCACGTGACCACTGCATGCCCTGTGTGCCGGCACACCAAACACATACATAAGATAAGATATAACTATTAGTACTGAATATTACCAGAGTTCCTCTGAGCATGTACGGTGGTCTGTTGAAAAGGTCAGGCCGTGAGCATTCTTAAGCCAACACTACTGGCTTGCCCAACACTCTCTTCTTGCTCTCTTCCTGGCACTAAGCTGGCAACTCAGGTGAGAGCAAGATGACCAAGGCTACGCTGACTCGTGTCAGGAAAAGGAGCGAGAAGGCAGGCAAGGGAAGGTGTCATGTGCTTAGACATCCCACTGCAAAAGCCTGCTCTGAGTCAGAACAGACTTCATAGCAACGGACTTCCAGAGAAAAGTAAAAGGGAGGGAAATGTAATATGACTGTGGGCTTGCAAGCTAGCATTCCACAGCCCTTTTAGCACAAGGTTGTCCTCCCCACAGGAACAGGGATGTGGGTGTGGCTGTAGTACAGGTGCCCTTAGTATAGGGCTCTCACTGGCAACGGTCTGTCTGGAACTACTGATACATGCGCACAGATAGGGATACACCACTGAGAATCTAGAGGATGGAGCCAATTGTCCATAGCTGTCCCCTTTTCTGTACTAGAATGATAGGAAGTCCATATGGCTAAATTTTGTCCTCGAAAGAATACTGAGGTCTCAAGCACTCGGACCAAGCAATCCTTTTTTATGCACCTTATAGATTCTGCTGTCCATTTTCTTTTAAAAAGGGAGCCAGTCTACTGCTCTGTGGCCTGTAGCTACAGTGGGGCTGTTGGGGGCTCCGCCCCCTTTCTTAAAGAGCCAGCCAGCCCCACAAGATTTTTTTTTAGAAAAATGCGCACGGCCCCACCTCTTCTCAAAAGCATTTAAAGGGATCCTTTAAATGCTTTTGAGAAGAAGTGGGGAATGGCACGCACCCCCCCTCTCCCCACCAATCAGCTGAAGGGTTGGGCTTGGGCTTGGGCTTGGGGGCGGACTGGAGCTGACATAAAAATAATGGCAGCCTCACCAGAAAATATTTTGCCCCACAAGCCACAAAATCCTTGCGATGGGCCTGACTGCTCTGTCTTATGTACATGGAATCCCCGCTAGTAATTTTCTGTGCGTGGGTAGCTAAGGAACCCCCTGCTGATTGGCCACTTCATTTATCTCTCTCTCTCTGTGTATAGCCTTGTGGGAGGACTGCAGTGGCAATGCAGTGCAGGCAGCTGGTCTATCCTCCCAGACTGTTTATACACATCTTAATGCAGGAGCCAGCTTACCAGGATTTTCACACCTGGAGAAGGTGAGCACACAATCTTCAGGCCCTTCGTATAGATAGCGCTTGTTTTTAAAGTTTCACCAGCATTGGTAAGGCTCTGGCAGTTGTTGGGTTTTTGGTTTGTTTTTACAAAGTAGAGTTACCATTGCCAGCAGGTAGGGTAGCCAACTCTGAGATGGAAAATTCCTGGAGATTCTGGGGTGGAGCTGGGGGAGGGAAGTTTGGGGGAGGAGAGGGACCTCAGTGGGCTACAATGCCATAGAGTCCACTGTCCAGAGCAGGCATTTTCTCCAGGGCTTTGTCATTCTCTGTCATCTGAAGATCAGCTGTGATCCCAAGAGATCTCCTGGCACCACATGGAGGCTGACAACCTTACTAGCAGTTGAAAAGTCCGGCTGTGCGTGGGAAATCGTTTCTCTTGCCAAAGGCGTTCAAGTAGTAAGGGTCAAACAGTGGTATTCAACTGTTACTTGACAGTGTTAACGATAACAAGTATTATTCCACTGAACACTACCATATTTTGCAGTATTTATTATCTCCTGTGGGAGGGAAAAAACCCTACCCTTTCCCTCTGTGTCCATGCAATTAATGAAAATAGCTGCCACTTTTGGTGCTGTTTTCTTACCACAAGTGGGAATGGTGGTGTGTATAAGACCAAGTTGGTCTTGCCTAAGAAATCTCATTCCAAAACAAATTGGATAGTATTTGAAGTGTCTTCAGTCAACGTGCAATGCAGACATAAATCCGTAGGCTTAAGGGAAACTTATGTGTGAGATTGTGCTCTTTGTCATCCTTCCTGCATCATATTAACAGGATGACTTTTCTGAAATTTTGTTCCAAGTAATTATTAGACATGGAAGTGAAGATTCACCATGCAATAATAACTAAATTACAGAGTGCTGTACCTGGGGAGGAAATGTGATTTCCATCTGTGGAATGTAATACCTGCTATGACTCCAGAATACTTTACTGTGTATTTAGTAAGGAAGAAAATTAAGGCTCATTTTCTGAAGTAGAATTAACATAAGCCAAGACTATTTTGAAACCATAAAATTTTTCTAGTCTCAGGTGTTTCATGTAGAGCATCAAAATATTATTTGCCTTTAATATCTGTGTAGTATGGAGAACTTTAACAGATACTGGCAAAAATATGCCCAGGTTAGGTGCTTTCTTGTTAAGTCTGATTCTGCATGCAGCATTCAAGTCATGCTATAAGATGTATGTCATAAGGTTAAAGTGCAAATCTCTTTTAAAGATGCAAGGTGAGATTACAGAACAAAGTCAGTTTGTGCATCTTTCTGAAATGTAAGTTTCTATAATCCTTTTAATGTTACCTTCCTGTGTCTTTAATGTAACATTCCTGTGTCTTTAAAGAAAGCTCTGAATCAAAGTTTGGACTCGGAAGTTCCAAACTCAAAGGTTATGAAGCTTCCCATGTTGAAGGTGACATGGTCTTTGGTGCTGCTCTTTGCAGGGAGCCAGTGTTGTGTAGTGGTTAGCGTCACACTAGGATCTGGGAGACTCAGGTTGGAATCCCCACTTTGCGATGCATGTTTGCTAGGTGGACTTGGGCTAGTCACACAGTCTTAGCCTAGCCTATCTCACCGGGCTGTTGTGAGGATAAAATGGAGAAAAGCAGAACGATGTAAGTTTCTTTGGGTCCCCATTGAGAAGAAAGGCATGGTATAGATGAAGTTAATAAATTGATAAAATAAATAATATGGAAGCTGTACTAATTGCTGCATATGTGAACCCACCACTTCTCTTGAACCAGTGTGGATTGACGTACAGTAAGATGAGCTGAGTCCTGAGAGATGAGGACTAAGGTGAAAAACCCATTAAGCTGAAATGAAGTAACTGATACATGTCATTTCTACATCCAAGGTCAAACTTTTAAGTCTTTGGTGCAGAGTAGGCAGTGCTGCCGAGAGCCACCATGGGCCCCTGAACAAAGATTCCATCTGGGCCTTCCCCCCATATCACCTTGATCCAAACCAAATGTCATAATAAAATGAACAAATCACTTGGCTTGCTGTTAGCATGAATCTATAGTAATGAAAGAATTGGCCTGTCTGTCCATTCTTGTTTGTTTACTTATTGACTTTATTTATATCCCACCTTTCTTTCCAATAGGGACCCAAAAGTCTTACATTATTTTCATCTCCTCCATTTTATCCTCACAACAACCCTCTGAGGTAGGTTAAGTTGAGAGTACATGACTGGCCCAAAGGTCACTCAGCAAACTTCCATGGCAGAGTGGGGATTTGAATTTAGGTTTCCCAGATCCTAGTCTGACACTTTAACCACTACACCACACTGGCAGGCATAACTTGTCAGCGAATAAAGCTAGGAGACTCAGACTTGACTATCGGCTTCAGGATGATTGTGGAAGTTTCATGGCCAAAACTAAATGGTATGGGAGAATCCTAGCCCAGGTGAGACAGATCACCACCACACTGCTATTTGCAACTGAAGCGAAGGCTCTCTCTGGCAGGCATGACTCAGAAAATAATGCTACATGTTTGAAAACTGGCCACTAACCCCAGAATGATGATGGAAGTTACAGCACCAAAAATGAAGGGACCAGATTATCTTCATGACAGACCACATGTAATAAGAGAACTTTTAAGCAACCTGTCATGTGTCACTAATACTCAGATCCCCAGCCCGCCATGGAAGGTTGCTGGGTGATACATTCTCAGCCAGACCTACCTCACAAGGCTGTTGTGAGGATAAAATGAAGGACAGGAGAACAATACAGCTTTGGATCCCGATTGGGGAGAAAGACTGGGTATGGTATTTCTCATAAATCTATTTTAATGATATTAAAAAGATTAGTTGATGGGTTTAGCATGATCTGTTAGGTAAGTTTACTTAAATCTTGGAGAAAGGAAAGTCTAGCCGATAGTAGAGAGCCTTTTACTGTGCTCGGACTTCCTGGTGCCCCTAGTGGCTGCAGCCAGAACTGCATGAAAAATAGATGGAAAGACATTTGGTTGAATGCAAGGTGATGCTGTCTTCCAGGCAGGGCCCTTCAGCTGACTTGGCCCCCCACGAATTTTGTCCCCCCAGTCCCCCTTTGTTAGCAGTCCTGAGAGTAGGCAAAGCTGATCTTGACTGACCAATAGTCTGATTTCCTATAAGCAACTTATATGGGGTCAGTCGATGTAACCTCATCTTCAGAAGGTGAGTTCCAGTTACACTAAATTACAAACAAGTTCTTCATAATGAAGGAAGCAAAAAACTGGAATCCATTATCTCTAACAAGTGCTTGATATGTTTACAGAAGTTGCAATGTTGTAGTGCATGTGCACACTTGGTTTTTATTTTAACTTTTACCAGAAAATGTATTTTTGCAATATCTGTATTTGATTTATGAAGGACTTGATTTAACA